CTGACCGTGGGCTAACCATGGGCGAACTATCAAAACACTAACTGGATATATTGTTTTCAAGCCAAAATGGTCGTCGGTATTTATTAGCAAGCTTCTTATATCAGCGTCATTTTAGGTTCGTGTCATGAGAGCTACGCTATCAGGACCGGAGTATTTTGAATCTTCTCATAACCGAGGAGGAACATTCTGCTCCCATCGAAATGTTCATAGTGATCCCTCATCTAAATTGCCGTTCAGATATTGTCTATTTAATTTGCCGGTATTCTGTCTCAAAGCTGCCATAAGAAGCCGCGTTTGTTGCCATTTTTCGGTCAAATCATTTACGGGTCCAGATTCCACAGTTTTGCATATAACGTTTTTTGATTAAATAACCTTGGAGTAATATATCAGTTTCACAAGTGGCATTCAACGTTACCACATTGTTCCCAAGATGGTGGTATAGGATTAAAATTCATTAAGTAGCATCATTACAGCTATCATCCAGAAATTATAAGCGGTTATAGGATTAAACAAACTTATCCATGTAGTGTTAAATTAAATATCTGCCGGCGTATACAAATGCCGGGATTATCTTATTAATCATTAAATGCTTTTTAACACAATTAATATATTTGAAACAAATAGTTACTGACATGATCACGTAAAAGATGTATATAAAAAAAACCAAAGTAACACCATTAGACCCCTAAACAACTACTTCTACTGAAAATGAATGTTTTACGATAACTGCGTAAAATAACAAATTGCATGTTTCATTTCATTTGATTTAGTAAATCCTAAAATCTTGAGCGTATGTATAATGAAAAGTTGATATAGGCAAACGAACATAAGCTCAAGTACGCGGACCGCTGCATGCACACCAACACTACAGAACACACGTTACATGTATACACAACAGGCGCGCACATTTATATACAATGTACATTATACACGCGCGCGCGTGTGTGTATGGGGCTAACCGTGGGCTAACTATGGGCTAACTATCAAAACAATGACTGGATATACTGTTTTCAAGCCAAAATGGTCGTCGGTATTTATTGTCCTATTAGCATGCTTTTTATATCAGCGTCATTTTAAGTTCGTGTCATGAGAACTACGCTATCAGGACCGGAGTATTTTGAATCTTCTCATAACCAATTTTCATAGTGATCCCTCATCTAAATTGTCGTTCAAATATTGTCTGTTTAATTTGCCGGTATTCTGTCTTACAGCTGCCATAAGAAGCCGCGTTTGTTGCCATTTTTTTCGGTCAAATCATTTACGGGTCACGGTTTCTACAGTTTTGCATATAACGTTTTTTGATTAAATAATCTTGGAGTCATATATCAGTTTCACAAGTGGCATTCAACGTTACTACACTGTTCTCAAGATGCTGGTATAAGATTAAAATACATTAAGTAGCATTGGTACAGCGATCATCCAGGAATTATAAGCGGTTATAGGATTAAACATACTTATAGTGTTAAACTTAATATCTGCCGGCGTATACAAATGCCGGGATTATCTTATTGATCATTTATATTTTTAACACAATTAATACATTTGAAACAAATAGTTACTGAGATGATCACGAAAAAGATGTATATAAAAAAATCCAAAGTAACACAATTATACACCTAAACAACTACTTCTACTGAAAATGAATGATTTACGATAACTGCGTAAAATAGCAAATAGCATGTTTCACTTCATTTGATTTGGTAAATCCTAAAATCTTGAGCGTATGTATAATGAAAAGTTGATATAGGCAAACGGACATAAGCTCAAGTACGCGGACCGCTGCATACACACACACACTACAGAACACACGTTACACAACAGGCGCGCACATTTTTATACAATGTACATTATACACGCGCGCGCATGTGTGTACGGGGCTAACCGTGGGCTAACCATGGGTTAACTATCAAAACAGTGACTGGATATATTGTTTTCAAGCCAAAATGGTCGTCGGTATTTTTTGTCCTATTAGCATGCTTTTTATATCAGCGTCATTTTAAGTTCGTGTCATGAGAGCTACGCTATCGGGACCGGAGCATTTTGAATCTTCTCATAACCAATTTTCATAGTGATCCCTCATCTAAATTGTCGTTCAAATATTGTCTATTTAATTTGCCGGTATTCTGTCTTACAGCTGCCATAAGAAGCCGCGTTTGTTGCCATTTTTTTCGGTCAAATCGTTTACGGGTCACGGTTTCTACAGTTTTGCATATAACGTTTTTTGATTAAATAATCTTGGAGTCATATATCAGTTTCACAAGTGGCATTCAACGTTACTACACTGTTCTCAAGATGCTGGTATAAGATTAAAATACATTAAGTAGCATTGGTACAGCGATCATCCAGGAATTATAAGCGGTAATAAGATTAAACATACTTAGTGTTAAACTAAACATCTGCCGGCGTATACAAATGCCGGGATTCTCATATAAATATACACCCAACAACCTTCAACTGGGTATACAATCTAATCAGTAGGGCTTCCCTACACAGGGGTATATACAACGACAACGAACTAACACTACATCAACGAAGGGCAACAAATATTATTTGAATTAACAGCGCTCTTCCGAAACGTCATAACACGAAAGTTAAACTAATAAGTGGCATTGCTTACTGCATATGCATCACAAGACTGATTTTATTCTGCGAGGAAAACAATCTCCCCTAAATGGGTCGGATTTAGTTTTTTTCGTCTAATACATGTACGATACAATACAATATACACTTTTAAAACGCAAATAACGAGATAATATTGATCTTACATTTTGTGCATGGATATCTCGCGTTTTGGAAATACATTCTCCAAATTATTCCTTTATTTATAGGTTTTTTTACGGGGTGTTCTCATTAAAACTATTACCCTTAAAGGCACTGCACAAAACTGTAGAATTGTTAGAGTATTTTAAACAAATTGATGAAATAAGTCAAAAGTTGACAAATAAATTAAAAGTGCATTAAAAAATAATGGAAAACAAACGATTTAAGAAATCAAAATATGACAACTCTTGGAGAACAAAAAAAAAATGCAAATCCGAATGGCATCAACAAATACTATAAAAGATACAGTACCGAAAAGTAAACGCAATGACAACAAGCAATGTGGTTAAAGAAACTACAATACACATGTAATATACTTATATATATTGGATGGCTTTGAGGTGGATACAAGAATATACTGCACGAGCTAAATATTGCACGAGTCGAAGACTCACAATATTGTCATAGCGAGAGCAATATATTCTTGTATCCACCGAAAAAAGCCATCCCATATAATTTTAATGATTTATATCAGGCCGACTTGATCCGCGTGATTTCAGATTTTATTTTGAAGTGCAAAGTGAACCCTTTGGAAATGCCCCGAAAAAATAAGGAAAACAAATTCTGACAACCTTCTGGTTGAGTATGTAAGTAGAGATAATAATGGTTTATCAGAATCTATCAACTTTACAGGAATTCTTAAATGTCAATTTGGAATATTCCGAGATTTGTTCAAGTGTGCCACGTTAGGAAACACTCCGCCAATTTGTGCCCAATTTCTGGACGCCACCGTTTTTGAATTTCGGATTAAATTTCATGAAACCGAAATTGTGCACAAAGGTTAAATAGCGAGCATTAATAAGGTCAAAGTACCAGTATTTCACTGCATGAATTTGAGGTAAGTCACCAAAGAGGTTTGGCAACACTACACGAGAAAACTCGGGTAAACGTCGAAGTGCGCCACGTTAGGGAACACCACTATATAGGCCTACCTGGCCTTCTGCGCGCTGTATGCGCGCTGCATGTGCGCAGCGTGTTCCGTGTTCGACAGTACGCTCGCGTGATACGCTCTGTTGAGTGGTTGACAACTGTGACTTTCCATGCTCTTGATCGTGCGGGAACCAGCGAAAATGCCCGGATGACTGCAATAACAACCTCGTGCCCCGTGGGTACGATCTTGCTGCGCCATGTTGTTTCCCATCATGCCTTGCGCGATCGTAACCCCTGGAAGTGTGTAATTTAAAGCCCGAGTCCATCATTTGCAGCTATCCAAAAAGTAACTGGCGTAATTATTGTTGGAAAACATACTTGGTTGAAAGATAGTAAGGGGACTAAACTCCCTGTGAAATTATTCTTTCTAGCAAGCTGTCTTTTTGAAAAAATCAACGAAAGAAGCGCGCGCAAGCGTTGGCACGATGCACACGCGCATCGGATCGATGCGCAACATCGCGTAGCTGCAATTGGTTAGTGAGAACGTGTCTCCGACGCTGAATTCAGGCCCAATTCAAAACATGATTCAGCAACTTTTGATTTGAAATCGAGATCTTAGAATGTTGTTTTTCTCGAAATATACAGCTGTAGCTGAGCTGAAACTTCATCAGGTTAGTTGTTCAGCACCCTGCTTTAGATTTTGAGCACGTTTGTTGCTTCAAACGAACAAAATGCAATGACAATGATGGACTATACCTTTAAATGTGCACATTATAATTAGGCTGCAGTTTATCAGTTTTACGCGCTGACGCCATCTTTAAAATGTTGAAAGTTGTGTTTTTGAAGAATCAATGCTTTCAAACATAAGGTTTGGACGTTGCGATATTTAGCAAAGATTTGTATCAAAGGTACGTACCCCTTTCGTGCCTTTTGTCCCTTTGCAACCGCAGATACAGGGTTTTTTTAAGCGAAAAACGAGGCTGCCATAATCCATATCGTACAGGAATCGCACAGTTTTGAATATTCGTACGTGACGTGACGTGCAAAGCACGCGAGCGCAATTATGGGCGCGCCCGGCGTGCAATCTTCGAAATACCCGCGCAGTACGCTCTGAATAGCTAGTCAGCATCGTTTACGTCATCATCACGGCCAGGGGTTAGTGTAAGGAACGAGCACGCGCCCCTGGAGTCGATGCTGCTGCAATAATGATATTATAGCAGTAAACCGGCAACCTCGTTCCCATGGGTAAAAGATCTTGCTGCGCCATGTTGTTTCCCATCATGCCTTGCGCGATCTGTTAGTGAGGAACGCGCACGTGCCCGTGGAGTCGAGGGTGGTCAACCGGGTACTTTATTATTGCAGTCATCCTGGCACTTTTTATGAAAGCATACAATACGCTTATTTACTTTTACCGCTGGAAGCCTGATATAAATAACAATTGTTAATACTTAATAACGGACATGGGATATTTAATAACAGGAAATTAGCTACAAGCCTACAACATATGCAAATTACATGCAAATATGACTGATCAAAATTTGAAATGAAAATAAAAATAAAATGTACAATTTAAAATTAACAAAACTGTGATATATTCAAATACACGACGATATAGTAAACAAATGAAAATGAAGATAAATGAAAGAAAATCACAGTACAAGTAAACGCAAAGAACAAAGTAAAAATATTTCGGAAAAGAGTTTTAAATCGTTGAAGACTAATTTGCCTGCCTCGGGCTCTGAGTCCGTTGTTGACGTGTTCCATCTCAAGGCAATCAGCTACTTAAAAGTGTTTCATGACTTCATTGAAGACATCTTTTGAGATGGTTACAGTAATCAGTAATCAAACTCGATATATTATTTGTAAAGATAACGATGATTTTGTTTTCGTTAATTGTATCAACGACCTGCCTACAAGTGATCTTAAGATAGGTAATCCTATACAGTTCATTTTCCCCCGCAGTTGTATTCATTGTTTGTTGATTTACAGACCGGTCGTCATAGCTTGGTGCTCATCCTCATTCTCGCCTTTCACTTTAATCTCATCCATCTTCAGCTGATCAAAAGCCTCGTTTTCAGAGACATTTTCTTCTTTCTCTTCATTCTCTCCCTTTTTCGATTGATCTGTAATCTGGTTATCAGAGACACACTCTTCTTCCCCTAAACTCAAACCGACCTTCATTTGATCTAAAGCCCGATAATTACCATAGACATTCCCCTCCATCCCATTACCCCCATCACCAACATCATTCAATCGCGACTGTGACTTGAGCTTGAGATTTGATGCGGATGATGAGAGGGTTCCACATGGCACCAGTGTCTTCTGCAAGCACCCGAGGACCTTGCCTCGCACGTTATCATGTCGGACAACGAACAACAGGAAGATGAACAGACCTTGCAGGGAGTTGAAGACACAGAAAAGGACTTGGAAGGCAAAGTTGGAAGACTCGATGACTGAGAGGAGACCGAAGGCCCAGGTAAGACCGAGAAGCACTGAGATGGCAGCCATGTTCTGCAGCCGCTTGACCATTTGACTTCGCTTGCCTTTCGTGTTGGAGCTTTGGACCACTTTATAATTAGCCTTGCAGGTCAAGCTATGGGCGATCAGGACAAAGATGACGGCATTATAAAGGAAGACGAGGCCGATTATGAGCAGCTGACCGTAGTAGAAGGCTGCACCGCGCTTCAAGAAACAACTGCAAATTGAAATCATGTGAATTTTACAAGATCACACATTGCATATTATTGGTAAATTATTTTGCATGCTTTCGTTGTGAGGTACTGAGCTTAATAAATTTAGGTTAAAACATCTATTCCGTGTTGATTTAGTAAAACTAGGAGGACATCAGCGTATTATTAACCGATAATTTTTTTTAAAAATGTTCAGTGGGGAGCTGTAAGCCATGCTAAGACCTCAGGAATCGAACCAAATCTGTGCAAACTGTGTTTTACAATCAAACGTCGGTGATGTTTCAATAATCAAAATGTCTCTGTTTACCAAGTGTTGTCAGTATTTCTTACCTGCTTTCGTTTTCGTACTCTTTGTAATTCACTGCTAGTATTACACCAACAACAATCATTGGCAATCCTGCAAATGATAAGTTTATAATTTCCTTAAGCATGTTGACAAAAAATGTTACAATAGTACAAACAAAATAACGTATTTAAACATCCAAAACATTCACAAAATGTCTTTGTCTATTTCTGTTGTTCTTTGTATTCTTCAAAATTATTACATATTTTTAAAAACAAATCGTTCTCACTTTGAATTTATAGCAGCTATAATATTGTGGTGGAAAGTGTTTGGGCTTAGAGCCAGTTTATTTGTGACGTCATACGTATAGCATTTACGCTTAATCTCTGTGCGTTAGTGACTGGGCGGAGCTGAGGAGTTCCGTGAGTTGCTGCACGTGCGTGAATGGTTAACTAGTCGTATAGGTTTGTTGCACGCACATGTTTTTAAACGTGACTGCAAGACTGAGTGTCTATGCATACCTTGGCGGTATATAAGTGCATGCGTGGGCAAGCGCGTGCTAGATGGTTAGAGATAGACGAGACTGGTAGATTAGATACTAGGTGAGTTCGTCTAGATCGTTTATGTTCTGGTTTAGGTGTTGTTGTACTGGGGTTGCGCTGGAATGTTTAGCTGTTGTATCGCAAGTACGAAGCTGTTGTACGAGTTGTACGAGTGCGAATTTGGGCTTACATACGGCGTAGCGGATACCTTGCTAGTCGGACTGTCGGACAGGCTGTTGTGCGTTTGTGATGCTGTGTTATTGCTAACTTAGCGATGCATTGCTGGCGCTGTGCATAGTTGCTCATTGCTGCCATTGTTGTCTATTGCTTAATGCTGCGAGCGTTGTTGCATAGGCGACCAGCAGGTTATCTCAAGTAAGTAAAGAAAGACCCAGTTAATAAAACAACCCTCCCAATTACATTCCAATTAATGTACCTGATTATTGCTGAATAAATTATGATTGATGTTGCTTGAGACTACCGAAAATTCCGCTTCTTGTGTTTATGTTTACAGGTTTATTGTGCAATTAATTAACAGTTAACACTCATTCGCAATCGGGCGGTAGCCACCACAACGGACCTGCACCCTAGCCTTGAAGGTCGATCTGCATGAGTTATCTCTCGTCTAAAAGGGAAGAGCCTTGGTTTGGGATGATTGTCTTCACCCCATTAGGAGTCAGACTTATCCTAACAGACTTGGGTTGGCCCGGAGGGGGGGGGGGTTCTATTCATTGATTCACATCACACTGCGATGTGAACCCCTCGAAAAACTTTCCTATTCAGTAAAGAAAGGGAGTGACAGGTGGATTTTAACAACAGTCTCCGACCCAAATCATACTCAATAACGTGAATACATATTCTATATTTCTGCTTTACTGTCAAATTTTGACAACAAACTGTTGAATGTTTAATGTCTGTTTGAACGAGATGCTGGATACACCTTGTTAAAATCACATCCACCAAGTTGCCCTTTATCCATTACAAATAGAGACAAGTCGATATGTTTCTACATTTCAATAATGTCTATAGGCCCATGTCATACTCACCCCAGGCAGCGATAGAGGCTTTGACCATGAAGTGTTCCACGTTAGAGTTGAAGACTTTAACGAGTTTCAGATAGAGGTTGGTTGCCTCGACTCCCATCCATGCCATGGAGCTTAGAGTGAAATAGTGCATCAACACTGCAACGATGATGCAACCTATGCGAGACGATGTCTGCTCAATACCAACCAGGAAGACCAGATAGAGACAGAGCAGTGAGAAAGAGAAGCAAATCAAGATGCAACTTGGTGTCTTCTCTCTCAAGGACCTACCGGGAAAATGGAAACAGTGGATTGGATATAGTTGCATGATGGTACAACGCTCATTTCCGACACTATTGTATAAGGTACCGTACCTCGAAGATCAACCATACCAAGTCAATATGTCTTTTTTTTTGGCGCAATGTTTTAACCTTAATTTTAACTGTGGATTTTCCTCAGAATATTCTTCTGGGGTTTCCTCAAACCTCTTAAACTGCAATTTCTTCTCATTGTCTCCTCTACACATTTTTTTTTTCAGGCTGGCGAGTTGAGTTTTTGAGTAATTGGTGCGTTTTTAGGAATTGGTTTCATTACCAGAGAAAAAAAATATAGAATTATCTGCCCATCATTAAAATGAAACATAATATGTACTTTAGTTTATAAATACGATAAAGCCTCATTCTTACTTGATGGAGAGGTAAATGATGATTGTGAAAACAAGGGAAGCAATTGACACAGCACATCCAATCTTACTGATGATATCCAGAGCTAGGCTCGAGTACTTTTGGCCGTGAATGTCCTAAAAAAGATCAAAGTCCGTTTTAAAACGAGCTTTTGGTGTTTCATCTGTTTAACCAGTATTTTGAAATTGAAAAAAAAAACACCTAGCTCTTTATAATGAGTTGAATATCTAACCACGAGTACTGCAAAGCTGGTAGCATGATCACAGTGACACACAGTCCTCTCGCTGATTGAGGTCACTAGTCTGCAGCCCTCTGGTGACCAATCCCCGACGCCATCTTGGAGCTCGTTATCCCAGAAAACGCACTGCACCGCCCCTTCAATCACCTGCGAATTGACAATGTAAGCTACTTTAAACATTCAACAATATTGTGCATCTAATAGTTCCACAGTATTGCAAAACAAGTAACGTTAACACAGCAATTCTGTTATTTGTTGTAACATTTGACTCTGAATGTGATGTTATATATGCTCAATGATCTTCAAACCCTATGACTATGCTTCGCAACTAATGAATATCTTTCCATCAATAATTTGACATCTTACTGGATTTTGATTGAAGGTAACAACCACTGGGTTGTCATCTGGTAGGTTCTCGACATGGACACCAACCACCGTAGCAGAAATGATTGCACTATCCACAAACAGACGGGAACCAGTGGACTCAGCTTCAGCAATCCGCTTCGAGTGAAATAACTTGCTGGTTTGATACACGGTGAAACTAATGGGTACCGGACTAGCAGCTGTTGAGCGTAAAATACATGGATGTAATTAGTTTTCCGCGATAACCTTGAATTTTTTTTCTTCGAATTGTTCCATATACGTCGTGTACACAGAGCAAAATTACCATTCGTACATTTTAATAATTAATGAGCCATAATCCAAAACCCTTTGACCTATAGTCATGACATTTCTTGGGCATGTTTATGATGAGTTGCTCTATGCATGTACAGAGCTTCAAAATTTTCGTCACTCCATGGCCGAGATCTTAGGGGGGCGGAATCCGTCCCCCCGGCTGTTTTGGACAACTTGGGTATTTTATTTGTTCACCGTACGCCGAAAATCAAGAAAATGTGAAAGCAACAAAAGGGGAGTTTTATCTTACACGATTACCCCGTGCCCACCTGTTGGATGTTTCAGTAATATCTCATCGGGAAGATGGATGGACGATTCCACTGTCTCTGCAGGGAAATCAGAGATGGGGTAATAGACACTGACACTATCGTTCTTCAGCACGCCATCCGTAGACTCTCCCACTTTGACAACGAATCCCACACCTTCATGCAGGGAACTCGGAGGGATATTTAGCGCCTCGACAGCAAGACTAGGTGTAACCGCGGTAAAGTTCGCTCCGTCTTCGAGAACGTACGAGATTTGACTGTCGAGGCCTTGTACAATGCGGGATGTGGAGTCTCCGTCTGGTACATTGTTGAAAGCCTCGTCATTGACCTGTAGGAGGTTGTTGACCACACTCACAACACTTGATGTTATCTATGTATCAGGAAATACAAATGAGTATCGATACTAAATCGGAATAAATATATTATGGGTCATTAACATAAGGGATCCTCTTCTGGGCAGTTTTGCCACTGTGTATTTATGGCAAGTCTATCCTACGATTAATATTCTTTCATGTAATGAATAACAGAGGAGATTTGTTTTTTAAACTCATGTACACAAAAATTACGCAAAGACAGTTTTATTTAGCATCAGTATGCAACGTTATAATTGATAAACTCGGTATTAGTATCAGTAAATGGTTATTTAAGAATCCATTTTGGATTGATTTTGAACACCAAGTTACGATTCCTCTGTCTCCTTTCAATTTTGAAGATAAAATCAACCTAGCTATCGGTATGTCATCATATTTTACAAGGTCTTACTTCTGGGGAAGGATCCCGGATTGTCAGAATATTATCCAGGACGTCAGCCACTAATGCCACAGCTTCACCGTTGATTGATGAGGCATCCTTGGTCAGGGATTCCAGAGACTCCGACACCTCCACCACGTTCTCACTCGTTACCGTTATCTGCAGGATCAAGAAGAGGGTAAAAGAAAGTAACACCACGGGGTTGCGGTTATGTGAGCAGGAGTTCACACTCGAATGTTGCACCTTTTTCATAACAAATTACCCCGATTCTGCATCCATTGATCTTACCTTTTTTAATATATCCAGCTGACCATTGACATCAACGCTGCAATTTCCCAGCACGGGTTGAAGCCACTGAGCACCCACGGTGAAATCCCCCGAACAATCTCGAGATATGAGAACGCGACCTTAGGAATAAATTAAAAGGTCAACTTCAGCAACGGATATCATATTATGATGTTTTCCACTGGTAAACACAGGGCTTGAGAGTTTCCTCAGATCATGAAACCTGAACATTATCTTCATGTGACCATCAGTATTTCGTCGTTTCTTACGGGAATGAAACAAAAACCCACACAGTTGTATCACAAGCCACTTCATTCAAGCCATTATTAAAAGAGAAAGCGAACAAAATGGAGATTTAAACGAAATTAAGTTATTAATCAATTTTAAATAAAAAATAAGCTGTTGTATCTACCGTGCTTTTCACCAACGACGCATTCTTCCAGTATTTCAACCCCAAGTCCTATTCTAGTTTGCGGGAAGGTCACATTCTTGCCTTGTAATTCAAGAACCTCACGTGGACAGGAGGCTGTGAATAGGACATTCAGTGTTTTTGCATCAGTTAGTCCCTTTATACATGTACATTAATGTTTACTCAATTTTTAAACACTTCTTTTCGTCAACTGCATAGCCAGGTGTCTTCAAGCCATTGAGACGAAATTCGTGTGATCAAAGGAAAAGGTCTGCATTTAATTTACAAAGAATTAAAGTAACAGCGGTTTTAAAATAGTCATGCTAGGTTGACAGGCTTGCTTAATGAAGCATTTTTCTGAAACTGGTTTACAGAAAAGACATTTTTACAGATACACTTACAGAGTGACACTACTTTAACACTGTAGGGATCGAGACCCAGTCCTGGGTTAGTGGATGCATATTCAGACAGTGCTCTTTGCATTGAGACAACTGTATCAGCATCAGACTCATTGCTTGGAGAATTCACGATTACTTTGAAATCAACGATAACACTGCCTGGATAGAAGCGCGAAACCTCGTAGCTCACCACGGCCTTGTATATCATATCCAACGGCATCTACAAACAACATTTGAGAGAAACAAGAGAATGAAACAAACAGATCAAAACAAATAATTGCTAGCTTCTCACCAAGTGAGTACGTCTGAAGTTTACTTTTGGCTGAATGAAAGATGGGTTTTGAACCATGTAATCATGCTGCAAAAGTGCGTGTGGTTTTTGTACCAAATGAAACGGGCTTAACGGCTCAGTAGCGTCGAAATCATAATCTCATCTACCCAAAATCCAATCCTAAAACACCAATTGTGTACAAGGAATACGATGCCACTTCAAAACATAATAATAATAATGATATTAATAATAATAATAATTTGGGAGGCTAATCATCCTTACTCGCAGCTGGTATGCTGAATTGCGAATGACGCGGCTACAACGTGGTCGGGCCGCTGGCACGTAAAGGCGCCTATGGCTGCCGGCCACATCGACCCATATATGACCACGGAGCACAGCCTGAGATCGAAAGTGTTTGATTTTTCCGGAGGGAGGAAAACCGGAGGGCCCGGAGAAAAACCCACGTGGCACAGGAGAGAACCAACGCACAACTCTACTCACATGCCATCCGCGGCCAGGATTCGAACCGTGGTCACCTTGGTGAGAGGCGAGCGCTTTACGCACAAGCCACCCATGCCACCCAAATAAAGTCCAAAATGAAATTCCTTGTAATTTATCAATAGGCTGGACATTCATATTGCAGCTGTTAACAGGTGGAACGGATGGGAAGTATGACACTAAGTGGCTTGCTAACAGACCCGATCAGAACGAAAAATGTTTTATTGCCAACAAACACGCTAAAGAGAAGTTTAGATTTTAGATTCAGAAATTCCGACATAGCCGTCCCCTTTGTTTGTAGAATATTCCAAGTTGTTATGTTGAGGGTTATACCTTGCTGCGTATGTCATCCGTGAGGTTCTTGAAAGCAGCACTCGATGTATTTAGTAGATCGTCGGTAAATGTTCCGTTCACAAGCGTCACGTTTGCCATCAATGTGGTGATGCCTTGAAAAGGGAAACAGAGGTATTGTTCATCATCCTATGAAGAGTTTTATTATGCAAGTGTCCCTTACTTTGTAGGTTAATGTCAAAAAAACTGTCTACATTGTAGTTGGGTTATTATTGTTGGATTACATAGTGCAGTTTTGAAGCGTGTGTACCGCAAACCAACAACCCAATCCTAACCTGATTTCATAATGATGGCTTGATACTCGGCGGTAACATCGATGAGTGACCCTCTGCCTCTTCCAACACAGATGTAAGCTCCTTGGTCCCGCAGTTCTTCAAAGGAAGGAAAGATGAGAGCGTAGCCATTGGTAACGAAGTCACGCTGGCCGTCAGCGTTGATTCGGTACCAATCGTAGCTAGCGGCATTCTCAATTGGGCACTCAACTGGGAAAGGCTGATCACTCGGCAAGTCACTAGGAGCCTCAATCAAATACCGGGCCGACGATGAAACAACGGGAGCTATAATATGGGGGAAATGTAAGAAAGAGAGACAGTAAAAGAATGTCTTATGATATTTAGAGCAGGAACCAAGAAGAAATCACAAGAAAATAATCCGAGGCAGCCTTGGTGTATGGCCAGGAATGCAAGACGTTGTCTTTGAATGTCAGAATCAATTCAGTGAAGTTACCTGGTCCGGGTGCTGACGATTCCCGACATTGCTGATATGACAGATACTCCTGCTGCAGTCCATTACCGCATTTCAATTCCTTGAAGTCAGTCTCAAGTCCAGTCCATTCTTTGAAGAATGCTTCACAGTCGTCTCCTTGCTCGCACTGTATCACTGAGAGTTCTGCTGTCATCAATACACCTTGTAGCAAGTCCTCCACACCTTGGCTTGACATGACTGACAGGATCACATTAAATACCCCGATTTCCAGAGCAACAGGTGGAACAATTTGCAGATCCACTTTCATTGCAGTGTCGTTCAAACTCTGCATTGTGCTGTAACCATCGCGATACTCTTGATTGTAATAGTACAGAAGATACTCTTTTCCAGGCGCCGTAATCCTCACATCGTACGTAAGCAGTGGGATAATTTTAAAAAATATGGTTGATTTGACTGTTATGCTCAATTTGTGAGCGATCGCGGGATGGGCCATAGTGAAATTGAAGTTGTAATCCCAAGAGCTCGAACTGAGAAGATGAGAGGAGTAACAAGTAGACGCAGAAACATTTACTGTAAGTTCTTTAGCAAAGTAGACGTCCTCGCAACCAGATCCTGCAAAACAAAGAGCATTATTTAACAGGTTTAATTTGAATTATGGCAATGCGAATTTGAAGGCGTTTCGTTAACAGTTCAAGCCCTTAGTTTAGCAACGTACTTCATAATAAACCCGTGAATGAACTTATTGATCAATACCCTCAGTTAATTTTTGTTCTGAACATTGTTGTTATACACCGATCTTCTATTTCAGAAATGTATGTCTAAACTGAATTGAAAAACAATTTTAACAAATGGGACTAAATTGTCATGTGACTTTTCATATATTTTGTTGAAATGCCCTCTGGATAACAGTTTAGTTAATGGAATAAAAACAGTAGAATGTAGTCATGTATCTGAGTAGCCAAATCAAAACTGATTGATAGCCAATTAACGTGTATGGTGTTACTTTTAAAAGATTCTAAAACATTACTTACCCCATTTGGTCACAGTTACTTCTCTACTGGGTTTAAAGTTGTCTATCAAACACCTAAATCTGAGTTTAATAAAACAAATAGTGGAGAATAATTACTAAGTAAATGCGTGACTGATCCGGGGTTAAGTTAAGACTAATTTGACAAACAAGATCACATTTTTGACGTCTGACATTGTGCGACATTAAATGGTAATAATTCGAATACTGACACTCGATAACAACTCAGCTATTATACGAGACCAAAAACGCGGTTGATTTGTGTTTATAATGGCGTGATAATATTCCATAAGATTAGGTTTTACTTGAGTAGCGTATCCAAGGGGAGAAGGGGACCAGAGGGGGCACTCTTACCCTCCCCCGGGTTTTTTTTGATCACCAAAATTTTTGCTCAGCAATTATTTCAATAAATGGTAAGAGAGTTCTGACATCAATCCCAAAAAGAAAACCGCTCAAAAACCATGAAAATGCGCCGTGAAAATGTGTATATAATTTCCAGTATGCATAATGATGGTCAGTTTTGAAGAGTCCTCCCCCCAGGAGGCCAAGTGTCCGGAGGAAAAAAACATGTCTACATTTCGGCGCCGATGTGCGGTTGACCCCCCCCCCCACACACATCCAAAGCTGGACACGCTACTGTTTTTACTCAATTCAGAACTACACTTTAAGCCAACATTTCTGCCAAGTGTAAACCTCTATGAGTTAGGTACGTATATTATTTACATGTTGTGTACACATTGTACTGGTTTTACCTTTTAGGAGAGTCAGCAACTACAACCTCCAAATAGACTGAATTCAAGCGGGACTGTAGTGTGGTGCCCTTCCCGTCTATCCATTCTACAAGCGGTGGAATGTCACCAGTTCCCAGACATGACAAGGTGACCTCGTCATTTAGGAATGACGTCACATCAGGGCTGATATACGTAAATGACGGTTTGCCTGGACAGGAATACAATGTTCACGATACTTTTCGTTGTTTATATGTTTTAGGGCAATCAATGTCAACGATAATGGTCCTTGTTTATGCTTTCTTTAGCGTTGTTCAATCAGGTTGTACACAGCTTTTTTGGAAAGCATTTCAGCTGTTTTTATGCAATGCGTTGTCCCTGAGTGATTTTTACTACGAATCCATAGCTGAGCACATAAAAAGGTGAATGAATAGCTTCCATTAAAACCGGCAACCGTGTACACATGAGTCCAGCATAACTAACATTTGCATCCTTGTGGAGTCATTCCTTTGTTCTCGTGTACTAAAGTTTTCGAGTTTGAAAGTGTACTTTCGAAACAGAATTAATTTCCTGGGCTGAAATTCGGACTTAATATCCCTTCAAACTTCAATTTGCGCCCGATGAACACACCTTGGAAATTCCTAGTTGAGGAGTAAAAACCCATATATCTTTTTCGTGATAACCTATTGAAATTTCCCTGTGAAGACGTATACAATCTTTTGTTCCCTATTGTGCACATGTATCCACAGGGTACCGTGTATCAGATAAGTTCTAGTTGCTTAACTGGGAATGGAGAGAGGGCGGCCTGCCCCACTCGAGGCCGATGCCCCACTCAGAATTGGGGAAGTATAATGAGGTCCACAAAGGGCATCCACGAATTGGACCCTATAACTTCGCCACAGATTGCGTCAGTATTGCAAGCACATCCATATATCCACCAAACAGGTGTGATTTTGTCTTACAGTCACTTTATGGACATGTGAACAAAAGATGTCCACATAATGCAGGTTGTGTTGACGTAATGTGGACCAAGCCATGTCCACATAACGTTTCGCCCTCTTTTGAAAACAGGTTAAGAGGCATTTTCGGGTTAGGGTTATCTGTCGCAGAACAACGCGAAACATTCAAGGAAATAAAAAAAATGGGGTTGAAAGAGTTTTCACAGTTTATAAGTAAAGTTAGATTTTGTACCGAGTTTTCTAAACTAAACAAAAACAAAGGAATGTCCACATAGCGTGGTGAATGTCCACATGGGTGTTTAACGAGTTATATTAATTAGCTCTATGGTGAGAACTCACCAAGGCACTTGTCGTACTTAGAAAAGAAAAGTTCATTGGTTTCAGGCATGCCGCAAGTGGTATTGTAAATGTGCTTGGCGGACAGAATGCCCCTCCTCCACGTTGTGTATTCCGTAAGGCACTCGCAACCACTAAGGTATGTTCTGTAATACAGGGTGATGCAGTCAAGACAGGTAACGTTGACAGGTGTTGTAGAACTGTTCTGGGTATCCGTGATGTACTCGATGGTAACACTGATGTTTTGTCCGGAGTCAACAAGGAGAGGAACCCGTAGTTCTTTTGCAACGACTGTATAACCATCATCTACCTGCATGGTCCAAGAAAAAAATCACTAGTCCAAATAATATATTTTGTACCTTTTATGGTTTTCTTTTAACAGATATAAAAATGTGAGATTTAGATAATCCATAGGAATAATGTTATTACAGGTAAAAGTTGTTTTCCCTATGCCAATCTTAATATCACAGGATGATATCACAGTTCGGGAACCCTTCAAACTTACCCATAGTTCTGAAGTATGTACAGAGTTAGTCAATAAAATGTTGACCAATGCCGTTTTGTAAATCAGCTCAGTGAAGTCCTGCACGGTCAACTCCACCTTAAACAAAAGAATATTGGGAATAATGTTAAGCTATAACTTTTCTTTATGCACTTTTGAAAGAGAAAATCACTCTGTTTCTGTACATATATACATGTATATATTTGCGTCCCGTAGATGTAAATAGGTTGCAATGTATGTCACGTATCGGAAGCATACTCACCTTGCCAATGTAGGTTGACTTGGACAAGAATGCTGGCGCAGTGAACGTGTACACCGCTGTATTGTTCTCCAAGAAAGAATCATTAACTTTCAGGAATCCACTCTGGTCAATGCACAATTCTCTTACATTACTGTAAGCCTGGCAGAAACTGTAAGCTGTGGAGAAACAAAATCGAAGTCTATTTCCAACGCTGCATAATTTGATGTAGTGGTAGATAACTTCGACTGCTTAAATATTATCCTTGTCACCTTCCAACATTAATAAGTCTTGTATTTCCTGCAACGTACCATGTACTGAAACTGTGCAATATATTACATTAGCACACGCAATCTTGGTTGTAGATGATGCTATTCTTTGCCCTTGAAAGATTAGATATTAACGACACAGACATTTAATGACATGACATCTATATAGCTGGGAGCTGGGCTTTAATGCTAGTAAAAACGCTTCTGTTGGATCGGATTGATACTTACATTCGGAGGAGCACATAGTTGAATTCTCGTCTGAGTTATCGTAATCACCACAATCATAAAAGTTGTCACAGACTTGAGAACGAGGAATGCACACACCGTTCGAGCATTTGTGCTGGTCAACTTGGCAATCTTCATAAAATGGAAAAGAGGAAATGTGATGAAGGTCACGGTATACGTTAGTCTACAATATTGCACAGTGAAATATACATGTACCCAGGAGACTCAACCATCCAGATACAGACATTTTTAATAACGTATAAAACCAAAGCTTCGAAGAATATCTCCGATGGGGAAATCTTTAAATCCTACTTTCAGATTGCATTTTTGGACTTTTGAGTACAAACATGACAAGCATTTTGTGCGGGCAGTCTTCAGCAAAGCATCTCAATGAAGGTGTTGATAATAACCTGTTAGTCAGTGGCTGGTCTTAGCAAACACGAATTTGTTCTCTTTCAGACGGCTAAAGTGAGGCATCACATTCAACACAAGATATTCCTCAGTCACAACTTCCACAATGAAAGCCTAGCCTCGATGTGGCAAATAAACAGCAATTTGTTATCAAGGGCCGAGATAAATAAATGCCTCCATAAATGGCAATTGGCGTATGTACACAATGAGGCTGGAGGAGTGAAGGACCACTTTCAGTGAACTAACAGTGTAGTGAAACTATCACGTCCACTCATCATAGGGTATGGGGAAACCCCCAACACTTCCCCATATTATCTAATTCCAAATCGTATAACGTTTGCTGGTACTTCAAACGTGCGTGTTTGATCGATCTGATGGATTCCCCTATATTTCTCCGCCCGTGTTTTCATGTGAAAATAATAGTGAAACATATTATTCCACAACTGCGTTTCTGTTTATTATATACAACCATTCATAATACCAGTTTGTATATACCTCTTCTTTTTTCCCCTCAAATGAGGAGAATATGTTGCAGTTGGTTTCAAAAGGGCTCGGCTGTTAATATTTAATACAGGTTAAAAGTTCAGAAGTTAATGTTAGCAGTTTTTAATATAGATTTTCCGGGCCAAATTAGTCAAATTAGCAGCCATTTTTTAATTCACTGTCAATCAATTTTGCTCGAAATTGTGCTGCTAACATGATAATTTTACGTATCTTACGAAGCAAAAAAAAAGGGCATTCAAATGTTCAGAGTAAACTTTAAATACATTGTAATTTGCCTGGGCAGTCTTTTCGCATAGTTATAGTCATACAACTGACTAATGCTGTTTGTAAAGGTTGTTTGTAAAGTGTTATACAAAAAAATTGACTTTGAGCTGCTATTAAGAAGCAAAGGGTCCGCTAAAACTCATCGACATGGCAGCTCGTCGTCATCATTCAACATTTACAATGTACACAGCTAGATTGATCGAGGCATTTGAGGTACACGATTATGATTAATTAAAACTTGCATATTGTGGCGAAACAGTCGGTGGACTGGTGCGAGTTTACCATGGCTCGCCTGGTTCCCCGACGTAGTGCGTAGGGTATAGCGCGTAGTCAGAGATTTGTAGGCAGTTCGTCTGCAGACGCTGTTAAGTGAACTTCGGAACGCAATTATTGCCGATTACTGAGTTAACCTCGTGTATGATCGCCGCTGCTGCTATCGTAAGTGTGGACATCGCGGCGTGCTGTTGAAGGCGGATGGTGAGACTTTAGAGCAATCATTAGCAAGCTAGACCTTTCGTTGGAAGGGGTAATTAGCCTGGATGTTATGGGTTGAGCTGGTGACTGGGGACCTAAGGTTCGTGTGGTATGTGCAGCAGTATTCCCTGGTCGGGAATTGGGTTGCCTGTTGCCTGTCGACCTTTGTCGCCAGGAGTCACCTCGGGGTTATAAACCGCGCTCCGTAACCTGAGCCCAGTGATTTCTGTATGCTAGGTTGCATGTGAGGGTTACTCTGGTAAAGTCTTAATCAGTGTGTGCCGTTCATAATTTGTTGCTGTTGATCGCACTGGGTGTGCACAGTGAGGTTCTTACCACTGTGGGATAATCGTTCTAGCTAATCAACGAGATTAATTACATAGAGCCTGGTTAGGCTGGTTGTTGTAAGCATTGTATAATAAGAGGTTATTGTTGTGTAAGGCTTACTTTATAGGGATAAACCTAGAGCAGCGGGGAACGTTGTTCTGCGAGGTTTATTTGCCACTCATTGAACTTTAAGCCTGTGTATTGGACCAAATAAAGAGTTGTTTCTTGTTCTCTAAGACACATGTGTAGTGAGGTTTATTGAGGTTCCCTGGTCACCTCTAGGTTGCTTGCCACGTGAATTAAAATTCCTTTAGCGTTGGTATATTTCCAACAAACGGACAGGCCTAGGACTTGAATCCTCCGTTCGTGACGTTGTCCCCCCTTATTTGCGTATAACCGCTCATGCGCATGTAAGGTCATTAAATATATTTGTGGGATAGTCAGCTCTTGTTGGTGTGGGTGTAATTCCTTATCCATAGACGGGCGGGCGCGCCACAAATGGTGTCAGAAGTGGGATGCTTTAGGTTTACTTTTCACGAGGTTGACAGCATCCTGTGTAAGGTTGTTGAGGTTTACTAATAACCCTCTTGTGAGGTGTTGGCGTCAATATTTTGTTTGTTATTAATTTCACTCATTTTGGTTGTTCTGGTTTTCACTGCAACTGGGGTCGGTTGCAGACGTCAGTATGAGCGACAGTTTCAAGGGTAGTGTTGTCACTTTGGGTGAGGTTGATTCCCCGGGAGTTAACACTGACAAGTCCCTGGAGGCAGAGAATCAATTGCTGCAATGGGAGGTTCAACAATTGAAAGCTGAGCTACGGCGGAACTTCCGGAAGGGAAAAACTTCGAGCACACCTGCTGAAGAGGGTCGTGTTCGGTCTGAGGTTGATTCGGAGATCAATATCAGGTTGCCGAGGGAAACCTCGGGGTATGCTTCATTTGAGGGTGAACCCAAAGGAGGTTTGGCTAAACCTGGTGGGGCGAACCTTAATACCAGTACACCACAGGGAAAGTCTCCGCATGGGGTCAGGTCTGGTGGTGATTTTGGACTGAGTCCAGTCACAAATCCGTTTGTAGGGGTTGTTGCGAGTGATGCTCGGAAGCTGCATACGGACTTAATGAGTTTTGCGACACGACCGCCAACGAGGTGTACTGGCAACCTCACAGAGAGTTGTAGTGACACTGAAACAGTTCCTTGGAAACTCACGAGGGAGCCGCGGGTAGTTGGTGAGGTTAATTGTCCGGGGTCTGTGAGTGGGACGTCACGTTGCCCTCACATTGTGCCAGACAGGTATGACGGGAAGGTTGTTTGGAATAAGTATTTCAGGCATTTTGAATCCTGTCGGGAAGTGAATGGTTGGACCGATTTACAGGCTGTCAAGTACTTGTCCGCAAGTTTACAGGGTAGTGCACTGAGGTTGATTGGTGAGGGTGCACCGTCTGGTCGCGTGCACACCTATGGTGAGCTTGTGAAGTTGTTAGAGCAGAGGTTTGGGCATAGTCAACAAGCTGAGAACTTTTTGGTGGATTTACGGCATCGTCGGCATAAACCAAAGGAGACTCTTCGTGAGTTGGATCAGGCTATTAGAGAGTTGACAGTGAAGGCTTATCCTGAGATACAGGAAGAAGCCAGGGATAGGCTTGCCAAGAATCATTTCATGGATGCTGTAGAGAGTCAGTCAGTGCGGGAGGGCATTCACCGAGCCCGTCCCAGGGGTCTTGATGAAGCTGTTAGGGCGGCACTGGAAACTGAGAATTTTGAAAGAGTTGAGCAGCAGCGGAGGCAAGATAACAAGCCGACCAAGTTTGCGAGAGCACTCGACAGTAGTCCGGAGGATAGGCTTGAGGAGATGGGGCATGCCATCAAAAAGAGGGTGTGTTCCATGGTCGAGTCATTGTTTTCTGAGTTGTCGAAGCAAAGTGGGGAAACTAAGATGGAAGTGTCTCCGTCGAGATCACCTAAAACTCCTAAGAAGGAGCGAGGTGATCTGAGGTGTTTTAACTGCGGTGAACCATGTCATTTCCGGCGAGCATGTAAGGGGCCGCGGCCGAAGCAAGGTTACAAGCAGGGAAACGCCGTCCAGCCGACCGGCGGGCTCGCGGGCAGGCTGGAAAGTTCACTGAGCCCACAGGAGGTTGTAGTCAGAAGAGACCCTCAGGTGGGGCAAGCGACCAAGTAGTGGTCGCAGGCCCCATGGGTGCGGGAAAGGCAAAATATGGTTTGTTCGTGGATGGGACGATACGGGGCACCAAGTGTAGGTTTCTCATCGATACTGGGTCGACCGACACTGTGGTGAGCAGCATAGTGTATCACCAAATTCCATGGGAACAGAGACCAATTTTGGAGACAGGACTGAAGGTGGAGCAAGTTGATGGTAGTCCGTTGGCAGTGGTTGGGGCTGCCTCGGTGGAGGTACAGATAGGGAAGACAGTAGCCACTGCGAAGGTGATCTTTGCCGATGTCCCGTATTCAGGAATTCTGGGGATGAATTTCCTGTTGCCCATGGGTGCGAGTTTGGATCTGCAATCTCTTCAACTGAGGTTAAATGGTGAACACATTAAATGCACTAATAGTGCTGGTGAGTCGTTTGTGGGGAGGGTAGTTGTCATTGAGACTACGGAGATTCCCTCTGTCCGTGAGGTTGTGGTGCCCGGCACCATTTCAAGGTTGTGTGAGGTTGTTGAGGGTCCTGTTTTTGTTGAGCCTGTGGAGGGTGGTGGTGAGTTAGCGCAGCGAGGTTTAGTCCTTGCTAGGTCACTGGTTGAGGGTGACTTGGACGTGTTGCCGCTACGGGTGCTTAACCCTTGTAGGGAGATGCGCGTCGTGCGGCGGGGTACCACCGTAGGGATGGTCTGTCAGGCTGAGGTTGACCGTGGTCATGATATTCCCTGTAGAAGAGGCGAGGTTGAGAGTAACCTCCCTGTACATCTACGGGACCTGTACAGTAGAAGCGTGAGGTTTCTGAGGGATGAGGATCATTATCAGGTGATGAAGTGTCTGTCGGAGTATAATGATGTGTTTTCTCGGGGTGAGCACGATATCGGTTGGACCGAGGTTGTGGAGCATCACATTAACACGGGCGGTGCGGGGCCAATTAAAGAGAGGCCTAGGCGTCACCCGAGTTGTAATCAACAGGAGATCATGAGGCAAGTCCGTGACCTGGAGGAGAGGGGTGTCATCGAGCCGTCGGATAGTCCTTGTGCTGCCAACGTTGTCTTGGTCAAGAAGAAAGATGAGAAGTTGGATGCGTTAGGGGAAGCTCAATGGTTTTCCACACTCGATTTGGCCTCGGGCTATTGGCAGGTTGCCCTTGGCAAGGACGCCAGCCAGAAGTCGAGTTTTTGTTGTTCGCAACGGCTTGTATAGGTGGAAATGCATGCCTTTCGGCCTTTGCAATGCTCCGGCGACTTTTGAAAGACTAATGGAGAAGGTCATGGCTGGTCTCCAGTGGGACATCCACTTGATTTATCTTGATGATGTGATTGTCTTTTAGAAGACTCTTGAGGAAGAGGTACAGCGTCTCAGGGTTGTGTTCGAGAGACTGCTGGAGGCTAGACTTAAGCTGAAGCCCAGCAAGTGTAGTCTGTTTCAGCGGTCAGTAGGTTACCTTAGCCACATTGTGTCGGCCGAAGGTGTGGCAACTGGCAACTGATCCTGGACAGATGTCAGCTGTGGCCGATTGGCCGGTCCTGAAATGTGTCAAGGAAGTAAGGAGTTTTCTAGGACTTGCTTCCTACTACCGGAAGTTCATCCGGGGTTTTGCGGAAGTTGCATCTCCGCTGCATGAGTTGACAGGGAAGTCTAGGGAGTATCTTTGGACAGCGGCGTGTCAACAGGCCTTTGAGGAATTGAAACAAAGACTGCAGGAGGCTCCTGTTCTGGTTTATCCCTTGTCTGTTGGTGACTACATCTTGGATACAGATGCGAGTGGAGTTGGGATAGGGGCGGTCCTGTCCCAAGTCCAACAGGGTGAGGAGAAGGTAGTGGCCTATGCAAGCCGTAAGCTGAGCAAGGCTGAGAGAAACTATTGCGTCACGAGGCAAGAGCTGCTGGCTGTAGTGGTTTATCTCAAACACTTCAAGCAATATCTGTATGGTCGAAAGATTACCGTGAGAACGGATCATGCTGCGTTGAGGTGGTTGCTCAACTTCAAGAACCCTGAGGGCCAGCTTGCGAGGTGGCTAGAGGTGGTGTCTGATTATGACGTGTCAATTCAGCCAGGCCTGGACGGAAACATGCAAACGCAGATGCTCTGTCCCGCAGGCAGTGCAAGCAGTGTGGGCGTAGTGAAGACCCTAGTGAGGTGGAACCTGCTGAGGTGTCCGAAACTGTTGAGGCCTGTGAGGTTTCTACAGAGTCTGTCTCAGGAGTCTCAGAGGTTGCCAAGTCAGCAGTGAGGGGAATTCTTGCTGAGCCTCATCTATCTCAAGAGGTAGTGAGGGAAGCACAGATGGCAGATCCCGATATGAGGTGGTTGATCGAGGCGAAGGAAGGTGCGAGGGGTCGGCCGGACTGGAGTAGTGTCTCACACACTTCCAAGGTCCATAAGACACTTTGGTCTATATGGACTCAAATGGAGGTGCAGCAACAAATGCTGAGCCGAAGGTGGGAATCCAATGATGGTCGGTCAATCCGCTGGCAGTTGTTGCTGCCGGAAAAGCTCCGGAGTGATGTTCTGCAAGTACTTCATGGTGGACGGACGAGTGGTCATCTTGGCATGAGAAAAACATTAGCCAAGGTAAGATTTCGTTACTTTTGGCCAAACATGACGGCCGATGTGAGGTCCTTCCTTCGATGTTGTGAATTGTGTCAGAGGCGGAAGTCGCCATCGAAAAAGAGAGTTTCTCCTTTGCAGCAGTACAGAGTGGGTGCTCCCGTTGAGAGGGTAGCTCTGGACCTGCTGGGTCCACTGCCCCAGAGTGACAGTGGAAATGTGTGGATTCTTGTTGTGGGTGACTATTGCTCCAAGTGGATGGAGGCATCCACTTCCCGATGCAAGGGCGAAGACAGTGGCATCGAAGTTTGTCACTGAGTTTGTATGCCGTTTTGGAGTCCCGCGGGAGCTTCATTCTGATCAGAGGAAGCAATTTTGAGTCTGCAGTTTTTGTAGAGATGTGTAGAGTCCTAGGAATCAAGAAAACGAGGACGACGGCTTACAACCCGAAATCTGACGGGATGGTAGAGCGTTTCAACAAAACGTTGGTTAACATTGTTTCCATGCTGATTGAGCCTAAGAGGAAGCAGAGGGACTGGGACGAGTGTCTACCTTACGCGACCTTTGCTTACCGTTGCAGTCCACAAGAATCCACCGATGAGTCACCTAACATGATGCTGTTGGGACGTGAGGTGACGTTGCCTGTTGATTTGATGGTTGAATGTCCTGAAGTCGAGGAGGTGGTCGAGACTGATTTTGCTTGGGAGTTGCGACGTAGGTTGCAGGAGGCCCATTGCCGGGCCAGTGAGTGTCTGAAGCAGACTGCCCGCCGACAGAAGCGAAACTACGACCGCAAGGTTGCAGGGGAAGGCCTGAAAGAGGGCCAGTTTGTTTGGTTGTTTAGCCATTCCAGGAAGAAGGGTGTCACTCCTAAATTACAGCTACGCTGGGAGGGGCCATGTTTGGTCGTGAAGAAGTTGTCCGATGAAACTTACAGGGTTCAGTTGAGGAAAGGGAGTAAGCCTCTCGTGGTTCACGCAGATATGTTGAAGCCCTATTCTGGCGACAACTTGCAGCCGTGGGTGTATCGACCTAATAGAGTGACAGAAAGCTCTGAGGATACCGCACACGAGGTTGCCGAAATTGGGACAGCTGTAAGTGACGCACATGAGGTTGCTGCGGTTGACCCTACTGTAAGTGGTGATATGGGGCAAGATGGGATGGAGTCCGCTGCTATGCCTGAGACTCACCCGAGGAACCAACAGGTTACACGTAATGGACCTCACAAGGAGGTTGAAGTTTCCAGAAGATATCCAAGGAGAGAGCATAAGCTTCCGGTCAGATATCGATAGAGGGAAGCGCCTGAGGATCGCTCTGGTGGAGGAACAACATTCCAAGTTCGTTCACCTGGACGGACAAGGCGTACAGCGGGAGGAACGGGTCGACTTGCATAATCAGCCTGTTGATGCGGACCTGTTCACTGTGGAGCCAGCCGACTAGACATCCATCCCCCAAGAAAAAACTGTAATCTTGCCAATCAAACATTCCAATGGTGTAAAAAAAATCCTTAATTCAACTTGTGATCCTTCTAATTAAGAAAAGAGAAAAGGGTATTTTTCTACCGGTGTTGAACAAGTTTTAGGATGTAATGTTTTATATATTAAAGTTTTTTATTTTTATGCATGTGTATTTTAAATAAGGTTTATGGTGTTATGTGTTTTAAATGTATCTTCTATTTAGTGAACCTTGCGGACTATTTTTACTGTATAAGTAAACCTCAAATGTGAGGTGTATGTTATTTTGTATAATGGACAAGTAGTCCACACTGTTTCTAATTATGTATTTTTTTAAAGCTGTTTAGGCCGAGGTGGCCTAAGCTTTGCTGGGCCCTGTGTGGCGAAACAGTCGGTGGACTGGTGCGAGTTTACCATGGCTCGCCTGGTTCCCCGACGTAGTGCGTAGGGTATAGCGCGTAGTCAGAGATTTGTAGGCAGTTCGTCTGCAGACGCTGTTAAGTGAACTTCGGAACGCAATTATTGCCGATTACTGAGTTAACCTCGTGTATGATCGAAGCTGCTGCTATCGTAAGTGTGGACATCGCGGCGTGCTGTTGAAGGCGGATGGTGAGACTTTAGAGCAATCATTAGCAAGCTAGACCTTTCGTTGTAAGGGGAAATTAGCCTGGGTGGCTGTGGGTTGAGCTGGTGACTGGGGACCTAAGGTTCGTGTGGTATGTGCAGCAGTATTCCCTGGTCGGGAATTGGGTTGCCTGTTGCCTGTCGACCTTTGTCGCCAGGAGTCACCTCGGGGTTATAAACCGCGCTCCGTAACCTGAGCCCAGTGATTTCTGTATGCTAGGTTGCATGTGAGGGTTACTCTGGTATAGAGTCTTTATCAGTGTGTGCAGTTCATAACTTGTTTCTGTTGATCGCACTGGGTGTGCACAGTGAGGTTCTTGCCACTGTGGGATAATCGTTCTAGCTAATCAACGATGTTAATTACATAGAGCCTGGTTAGGCTGGTTGTTGTAAGCATTGTATAATAAGAGGTTATTGTTGTGTAAGGCTTACTTTATAGGGATAAACCTAGAGCAGCGGGGAACGTTGTTCTGCGAGGTTTATTTGCCACTCATTGAACTTTAAGCCTGTGTATTGGACCAAATAAAGAGTTGTTTCTTGTTCTCTAAGACACATGTGTAGTGAGGTTTATTGAGGTTCCCTGGTCACCTCTAGGTTGCTTGCCACGTGAATTAAAATTCCTTTAGCGTTGGTATATTTCAAACAAACGGACAGGCCTAGGACTTGAATCCTCCGTTCGTGACGTTGTCCCCCCCTTATTTGCGTATAACCGCTCATGCGCATGTAAGGTCATTAAATATATTTATGGGATAGTCAGCTCTTGTTGGTGTAAGTGTAATTCCTTATCCATAGACGGGCGAGCGCGCCACAATATAACCTCGGAATACAGATGTTACCACCTCGTAGCGACGTGAACAAAACTATACAAAGAGGAGAGATAACAAAATATAGTATTGATGATGAGACAAGAAGTCATCTTGAAGTAATGCTTGACACAAATCCTCTCTTGACTCCTTCAGCAGATGAAGAGAACTCTGAGGAATAGCTTCACTGCAAGACATACCTGAGGTATCAACAAGCACCATAGCCAGAAAACTAGAGCACAATTGTTAAGAACCTTTGCAGGGACATCATCTGGGTCTTACATTGCTGATGTCCAGCTTCTTCAATTTTCTCCTTGCATCCTCCCATCCAATCCTCTCATCAAACTGAAACGCCTACATCCTTACTGCCCATTCTTACGATTTCACATTCTGCATTCAAAGCAGCAGTGAAGTGGCAATAGCATTTGCGAAACAGCTGAGGTGATAATGTAGCAATGGAGGTGTGATCTCCTACGAAAAGCTGCATCACAGAATATTGATGCCACGAACGGAAGTCAATGTGTGCAATGGAACAACCACACTCAGACATGCACACTCTCAAAAAGATATGTAAAAAAAATAATTAGGTAAAATTTTTATGTAAAATATTACACAATTTCGGTAAAATTCGCCGGATAAAAGTGCCTCGAAAACATGTAAATTGAAAATACATATTGAATAAGCAAAGCAGTCAGTTTACCTTCAAGGGAATGTACAACATTTGCTTTTGTTGCAATTTTCAAAAATGAATGGATTTGCAGGATTAGTATGTTATAGCAAATATTGTTAAACTGACTTGGTTCATGTTTTGGGTTCGGAGATGCTGGAAAATTCAAGAAAACCAAGCATGTTTTTGTAGTCTGGTTCCCTGACCCCACTTAAGATTAAACGGAGCAATTTATAGACTTTCGGCAATTGTAAGGTCAGATAATCAGTCTAGCAGGATTGTACCCCTTCACTGGTGTGTAAACAATTGCAAAGAAAATGCGGAATAACTAAATATGAAAAATTAGGAGCAGTTGTTGAAAAAAAAAACCAACGCTGGTCGGCAGACCAGCGTTGGAAACATACAAGTTTTCTTGAAAATGTTAGCACATCAGGAGCCACAATTTTACAGGATGCTTTGGACTATCATTCCGTAACAATCCAGTAAGATATTTCGTAATAATTTGATTATTTCGTTTTTTGATGTTTGCAAATGTTGTATATTCCCTTTAAATGTGTTCAAACGTACTGCAATTAGGTAAAACGTACTAACAATGTAAAACAAGGTAAAACGTTTACACGAGGTGACGCGATGCAGCTAGCACAGCACAGCATAAGTGAGAATGGAGTACACCGTGACGTCTGTAACAACGAGGGGCATGTGCCGCAGCTAATTTCGGTCTTTGAAGGTAACGTTTTCTTAAGCTCTTGTGATTGTTATACCGTCTCCAAGCCCCAGAAATGCCTAGACACTTTGTACGATAAAAACCTCAGGATATTCTTAATATTAGTAGTGTTTAACTCGGCCACTACGTATTATACAACTCGTACGTGAACCAACTCGTAACAAGACAACTCGTATATGTCGTGCGCGGGCCAACTCGTACACCAGCCAACTCGTATGCCGGCAAAAATTAGCAAATTTAAAGAAATTGAACAATACACCGTTCACAGTACATAGTCAAGAATCGTCGCCACATATAATGTTGCATACAAATTTAATTCTGTGTACGAGTTGGATCGCGTACGAGTTTGTCCACGTACGAGTTGTCCTGTGTACGAGTTGGTCGCGTACGAGTTGGTTCACGTACGAGTTGACCTGTGTTCGTCTATGTACACGTATACATTCACCCCTGCATACTCGCCGTGGCCGAGCTGTATAGCCATAGGTTATGCATTCTGTACTCAGCCATATGGTTGTGAACACAAAGCGTCATGCCGTTTGTAGGCAAAGCTAATCCGATTACATACTTAGACGCTATAATATGAAAGGGCATTGAAATTCATGAACTCCCCCAAAAATGGCATTTGAAACGTTGAGTTTCTCAACCGATTCGCCGAAACGTTAATACTGGTTACTGGTAAAGCTGACCTTCAAATCTGGAAGAAATCGTTTGAAAACGTCCCTAAATCTATGTATTTATATCAGTTTCTAGGAATTTACGAAAGATGTTATTTCACGAGTAGTTGAACATACATATCATCTAAATATATTCCGAATTTCAGCTTTATCTGTTCTTGCTAACGCTTTTGTTACATATTGAAATCATCTCTAAGGAAAATGTCGGCAAAGAATTTTAGTGACCAAACCCACGTGTGTGGTTTTCTTATAGCGCAGTAGGCGCTACGGTTGAACGATTTCGGCCCGGCCGCGCGATGGACAATCGCATATTAGCATATTCATTAGCGTCACTCGGCGTGACTTGGCGTGGGTCTCGGTATCGACCAATGGAAGCCTGCAAAAAAGGGCGATATTTATCAATTAATAACTCGCGACGAGGCTTTTACGCAAATGTTTACTGCACATTATAATGGATAGGAACCTTATTCATATTTGTGAGGCTTGAAAAGACACGTAGCCAGGCCTATTTTTCCAATTTCATCAAAAAGTAACGAACATATCAAAACGACTTTAGGCACATAATTGGATCATTATAAAGAAAATAAACCCTGAAAATTGCGTGAAGATACGGTCTTCCAAACGGGAGAAATTAATTTTCAAAGATTTCGCCCACCAACGTGAACATGTGGGTGTACAAAATAAAGTATTACGTAATCTTTACAGAAATCGCCCTTCGCACAACATGGCTGTACTGTTGTATCTTATCTTGCAAAGTGTCCTAGAACTGCTATGGATTGGGGACGGTATGACAATCACAAAGAGCTTGAGAAAAATCTTCAAAGACCAAAAGTAGTTGTTGTCACAGACGTCATGGTTTCTACATCTACTAATTGGTCATAAAGGAAACTTAATTTTTTCAAGAAAAACTCAAGCACGCTCACTCACCTACAACTTTGATAAAAAAATGACATGATCCATTGTTGCGAGCGCTGTCCCCCACAAGACATGTCACTGTCGTTGTGCCCAATGAATAAGTACCATCAGACTCCACGACATTCCCCGCTTCAAAAGTGCGTTCAAAAGTGTTTTCAAGTCATTTCTGATCCAATTTTGTCCAAGAAGAAAATGTCAAATGTTTGAACAAAACTCACCTACAACGTGTATGACAAATTTGCAAGATCCCTTGTTGTGAGCGCTGTCAAATACAAGGCAGGTCACTGTCGTTGTGCCCAATGAATAAGTACCATCAGACTCCACGACATTGCCCGCTTCATCTTGACATGTGATGTCGTTGATAGTGAAGTTGTCCACATTATCAGTAGCTGATGGCATTGGTGTCCATGTAACCACAGCAGACGACATTCCGAGGTCTGTGTCCTGAGACGGAACACTATTTGGGCAACTAACTTCTGGATCTTCGATGTCTACAAATTAATCAAAAGCAGTTATATTTCAATAAGTAGCTCTCATTAACGTCTTGCAAAAAGGATTAAATAACTTCTTCGTGATTAAAAGTATAATTTAAAAATTGCATTGGTTGTCAGTTATTCCCCTACCTCTGATCGTTTCTTACTAAGTGCGTTCAAGTTTTTATTTTCTTGAAATGACATGTAGTTAAAAGGATTGTTAAAACTTAGTCTTGAAAATGCGTGGTTTATCGCCCGAATGTTGCCATGCCAATCGCACAAACGGGATTTTTCAACTTTTCTCCGTAATTTCAGGCATAATGTGGATTTTCTGTGACCAGACATTTCAAATATGGATTGTAAACGATATGAAAAATTAAATACAAAAGTTGACCTTTAAAACCGTATTGTGAATATGAAAGCAAAATGCCAGAAACACATTAGGAATACTATTTCGCCTGGGCGAATTACTATTTCGCCGGGCAGATTACTATTTCGCCCGGGCGGATTACTATTTCGCCCGGGCGGATTACTATTTCGCCCGGGCGGATTACTATTCCGCCCGGGCGGATTACATTTTGAGCTGTTTTTGAGCTCAAACAAAGCTCAAATTAACCCAATTTTGGAATTAATTTGAATTTGCTAGTATTTTAGGAACATTTTGGGGTAATCTTCAAAGCAGTTCATATCATTAACTTGAAACTTGGACTGAACATCCTGACACAGAGTATACGAATTACCGTGACGTCAATGTGACGTCACCAGGTATTACAAAGATAGGTTTTTAAAACGTGATTTTCGTTCATATACAAATTATAAACTAAACGGTAAAGAATCATGTTAAAGTTGGTATATACGTGCTTTTTCCAAAGTTCGATTTTCTTTTCCGAACGAACTTTAAAGGAATATAATGCCCTTTAACAAATAAATGTGCTTGTTTGCTTTTTCAGGAATTCATACAGTTTTAAAAAGGGGGTTAAAATGGCGCGCTCCAGTTCAGAAATGGTGCACAATATTCAGAATGAATTAGGAGCATCCCACTCTTAATTCAAAAGTTCAATTTTTACTTCTTGAGGGCCGATTTTTGATGTCGTGCGATGTCTCATTGGAAAGCTCATAACTAATGTAATGCTAGAAAATTATTAAATAAATTTGAAAATTTATTTTACAACGTGTTACACCCCAGAAGTACCGATATTAATTAATGCTCTCTCTTATCTGATCGACCAGACATTGATAAACAGGGGCCTAAATATTATACCACACCCACTTTTTGACCGGGGATGGGCTATTGAATCATCCCCCTACTTTTTCATGATGAGAAAAGAAAAGCTGCGAATTACGAGGTATTTTACGAACTTCCCAACAACCAAAATGCATTCAATAGTATACCTATTTGCACCACTGCTTTGTTCGGGCTCCAGAGTCTATAGTTTTAGATATGGGGTGGAAAGATTCGATCGTAAGAACCAGAGTCCGAACAAAGCAGCCTTTTGTACGGAAGCGTATTTAGGACATGATCAAAAAAAAATTCTGGCCCACTAATTCGCCCGGGCGGATTGCTATTTCGCCCGGGCAGATTACTATTTCGCCCGGGGAATTACATTTTCGACCGGGCGGATTACTTTTTCGCCCTTGCAAAGTACTATTTCGTCCGGGCGGATTACTACGGAAGCGTATTTAGGACATGACCGAAAATATTTTTTAGGCCCACTGCTTTGCCCGGGCGGATTACTATTTCGCCCGGGCGGATTACTATTTCGCCCGGGCGGATTACTATTTCGCCCTGGCGGATTACTATTTCGCCCACTTTTCCGCCCGGGCGGATTACTATTCCGCCCTTGCGGATTACTAATTCGCCCGGGCGGACTACTATTTCGCCCGGGCGGATTACTATTCCGCCCGGGCAGACTACTAATTCGCCCGGGTGAATTAGTAATCCGCCCGGGCGAAATAAAAATCCGCCCTCGAAATAATGGCCGGACATTTATTTTTTGGTCATTTCCTAAATACACTTCCGTATGGTAGAGTGTAGAAATTGTAGCGAGTTGTAAGGTTTGAGGAGTGTTTACCTGATGGTGAGCACACCACGCCTGCATCGGAGCCATGACCACACCAAAAGGAGCCGACTCCTGCATGCCCGCAGCTCCACAGGTCGGCCTCGTTACCCACGCACGCTACGTTGTTAAGAAGAACTAGACCGGTGCCACCTCCATAAGCCGCATGGGTCGTGTACGATAGAGCGCCAGGGAAGCCTAGCTGCCGGCAAGCCACCTTGGCGTCGTTCAGGTCCCAGCCACCGTGACACACTGTGCCCCATACGCTGTTATAGAAGAGCTCTACACGACCCTCATGATCGACGGCTCCTCCACTCAACCGAATCGAAGCTAAAATGATTTTAATATTATTATGTTATAGGTAAAAACGCTTTTGTTATACAAATTTAGATCCACATTTTGAGGATGGGTAGTGAACCGGCAGATCAAGAACTACGTTTTCGGGGGGCGGCTAAGTCGAAAAGGCTATGAGAGGAGGACCTCGTGCATGGTTTTATTATATAAAAAAACAACAACAACAACATTACTTTTATTGCGAAATAACGCGATATTTTTGTGAAGTATTGCGAAATATATAAATAGAGTTTCAAGAATTGTTGCGTGGTATATTATGCACATGCGTATTAAGGTGAATGACTTTACAAGACTGCAAATGCGCGCAAAAAGCGGCGACGCTTTTTAAAAATGGCGGCACTTAAGTTTATTATATAATGTTATTGTTATTTATTTTTTTGGACGCATTAAAGACTCTTTTTGTACAGAAGACTGTTTGTGCCAGGTTTAACAAATGGACAAAAAAATTATACGAAATAACGCAATAGTATTGCGAAATAACGCAACAGTAATGCGAAATGGCGCAAAGGTATTGCGAAATAACGCAATAGGCTTTGCGAAAAGGCTACGAGTTTTTGCCAAAAAAACACAATTATATTTGCGGAAAAATGAAGGAATGCATTGTGTCCGTATTATTGACAAAAAAATGTCATTCGAGTCACACTTTTATTTGTGAACAGCTCTGTATGGGGTAGCCGTTTTAATTCTGAAGCTAGCGTGAAACCTGACTACGCACAGTGAATTTTCAGAAACATTATTTTTTATTCGGCGAAATTTTTTTGTTGACAATTATTTTTTCAAAGACAAAGCCGAAATCGGCTCCCACGTGCGTTGTCAACAAGCCGTGATGTGAGCCACATCTAAGTTTTCTGTGAAGTATTCCGGTAAACGATCTAAAATATGAAATGTTCACAAAAACACGAAAAATATACCACTGAGCAGCCGACTTTAGTTGATTTCGACCTGTGGTACTTAATATTGTAATTAGCTTAGAAAGCGTTGGGAATTGTTATATTATTATGATCGTAAATAACCTGACTTACGGTTATTCATCAATTACATTATGCTTGTCAAATGGGCCATCAGCGTCCTACATAATCATGCATGAGTTATGAATCTCAATCGGCGGGGGCAGCGTCATGACTTATCTGCGTTCATTACGATCGCAAGGCCAGTCTTACAACTATATTAGTTACCTTGTGCCCGGCATATGACGCCAGCATCCTCCATGTGTGTACAATGATGCGTCCCGACGGGTGGATGGCTGCAATCCATCAGAGTATCTTCGTTTCCAGAACAGCTCACATTGCCAAGAAGGATGTCTCCGGTACCAGGACCGAAGGAGGCGTTGTGGGTTGCTTCTTGGGCGTCACCAAGGCCAAGTTGACGGCAGACTACGGTGGCCTCATCAAGTGACCAGCCATCGTCACAGACCGTACCCCACTGGCCGTTGAAGTAGACTTCCAATCGGCCCGCAGTAGTAGACGCACCGTTAACAAGACGCACTACAATGTGAGTCGAACAAAGAAACTGACCGGGAATACATTCTTATTTTTTTTATTCTTTATTTAATTAAAAAGAAGTTAAATTGATGGATCCGGGGAGTCTGCATCTGCAAATTTTGCAAATTTTTCATTTATGAAATGTACTCATGTTAGCAACTGAAATATAACTTTCGAATTAAGGACTACGGTCTTTTTCGGATCCAAAACACGCAAGCCGCGAGATGATAATATAATATTTTCCGTGTTACTTTTAACACTTGTATCATTTAAATTCCATGGAAAGGTATTTTAATGTCGTTCCAGAACGTGTTGGGCTTATTGGTTACTGTTATTTGGAATTCACACCAAAATAATGTTAAATTTGTGGTTTTGGGTTTTTTTTGCGTTAATTTATCTTGACTTTTTTTATTAGGCTTTGCGTGGTAGAGTGTAGAAATTGTAGCGAGTTGTAAGGTTTGAGGAGTGCTTACCTGATGGTGAGCACACCACGCCTACATCGCCGGCATGACTACACCAAAACGTGCCGACTGAATGCGGGCAGCTCCACAGGTCGGCCTCGTTGCCCACGCACGCTACGCTGGAGAGCAGAACTGGACCTGTGCCACCTCCATAAGCTGCACTGTGCGTGTACGATAGAGCGTCAGGGAAGCCTAGCTGCCGGCAAGCCACCTTGGCGTCGTTCAGGTCCCAGCCACCGTGACACACTGTGCCCCATACGCTGTTATAGAAGAGCTCTACACGACCCTCGTGATTGACGGCTCCTCCACTCAACCGAATCGAAGCTATAATGCAATTGGATTAAAAAAACATGTTGTTATTGCAATATCACCTTCCCATATGATTTTAATATTATTATGTTATAGGTAAAATACAAAATTTAGATCCAAATTTTGAGGATGGGTAGTGAACCGGCGGATCAAGAATTACATTTTCGGGGGGCGGGGGGCTCAGTCGAAAAGCTATGAGAGGGGGACCTCGTGCATGGTTTTAACGTAATGGTTATGGTATTTCGAAATAATGTAATTTATTTATTGCGAAATAACGCAATAGTATTGCGAAATAACGCAATAGTATTGCGAAATAACGCAACAGCAGTGGCGTATCCACGGGGGGCGTTGGGGGGGGGGGGGCTCCCCCATGAAACCTTGTCGCCCCCCCACTGAAATTTTGAGTTTCTAAAAAACTTATCATTGATCTGCATGACCCCCCCCCCCCCCACCCCCAACTGAAAAATTCCTGGCTACGCCACTGCGCAACATGTATTGCAAAATAGCGCAATACTTAGTGCGACATAACGCAGAAGTACAGTTTGCCATAAATAACGTTGTAAATAGAGTTTCAAGAATTGTTGCATGGTATAATGCACATGCGCGCATTTACAAGACTGCAAATGCGCGCAAATAGCGGTGACGCTTTTTAAAAATGGCGGCACTTAACTTCATTATATTATGTTATAGTCGTTTAAATTTTTGGCTGCATCAAAGACTCTTTTTGTACTGAAGACTGTTTGTGCCAGGTTTAACAAATGGACAAAAAAATGATACGAAATAACGCAATAGTATTGCGAAATAACGCAACAGTGTTGCGAAATGGCGCAAAAGTATTGCAAAATAACGCAATAGGCTTTGTCAAAAAGCTACAAGTTTATGGGAAAAAAACAGAATTCTAAGTGCGGAAAAATGAAGGGATGCATTGTGTCCGAATTATTGACAAAAAAATGTCATTCCAGTCACACTTTTATTTTTGAACAGCTCTGTATGGGGTAGCCGTTTTAATTATAAAGCTAGCGTGGAACCTGATTTCGCAAGGTGAATTTTCACATACATTATTTTTTATTCGGCGACAGTCTTTTGTTGACAATTATTTTCGCAAAGACAAACTAGGCCTAAGCCAAAATCGGCTCCCGCGTCCTTTGTAAAGAAGCGGTGTTTGTTCCAATTTTTCGCCGAAATGTGAGCCACATCTAAGTTTTCTTTGAAGTATACCGGTAAACGATCTAAAATATGAAAATTAATGTTCACAAAAACACGAAAAAATGTACCATTTAGCAGCAGTGTTTAGTTGATTTTGACCGGTGGTTATAAATATTGTAATTAGCTTAGAAAGCGTTAGGTATTGAGCGTACGATTACGATCGTAAATATCCAGACTTACGTTTATTCATCAGTTACATTATGCTTGTCATATAGGCCATCGGCGTCCTACATAATCATGCATGAGTTATGAATCTCAATCGGCGGGGGCAGCGTCATGACTTATCTGCGTTCATTACGATCGCAAGGCCAGTCTTACAACTATATTAGTTACCTTGTGCCCGGCATATAACGCCAGCATCCTCCATGTGTGTACAATGATGCGTCCCGACGGGTGGATGGCTGCAATCCATCAGAGTATCCTCGTTTCCAGAACAGCTCACATTGCCAAGAAGGATGTCTCCGGTACCAGGACCGAAGGAGGCGTTGTGGGTTGCTTCTTGGGCGTCACCAAGGCCAAGTTGACGGCAGACTACGGTGGCCTCATCAAGTGACCAGCCATCGTCACAGACCGTACCCCACTGGCCGTTGAAGTAGACTTCCAATCGGCCCGCAGTAGTAGACGCACCGTTAACCAGACGCACTACAATGTGAGTCGAAAAAAGAAACTGACCGGGAAAATATTCGTATTGTTTTTATTCTTCATTTAATTAAAAAGAAGTTAAATTGATGGATCCGGGGAGTCTGCATCTGCAAATTTTGCAAATTTTTCATTTATGAAATGTACTCATGTTAGCAACTGAAATATAACTTTCGTATTAAGGACTACGGTCTTTTTCGGATCCAAAACACGCTCGCCGCGAGATGATAATATAAGATTTTCCGTGTTACTTTTAACACTTGTATCATTTAAATTCCATGGAAAGATATTGTAATGTCGTTCCAGAACGTGTCTGGCTCATTGGTTAGTGTTATTTCGAATTCACACCAAAATAATGTTTAATTTATGATTTTGGGTTTTTTTTGCGTTAATTTATCGTGACTTTTTTTTGTTAGGCTTTGCGTGGTAGAGTGTAGAAATTGTAGAGTTGTAAGGTTTGAGGATTGTTAACCTGATGGTGAGCAAACCACGCCTGCATCGTAGTCATGAGTACACCAATGGCCGCCGACTCCTGAATGCCCGCAGCTCCACAGGTCGGCCTCGTTACCCACGCACCCTACGTTGGAAAGCAGAACTGGACCGGTGCCACCTCCATAAGCCGCATTGGTCGTGTGCAAAAGAGCGCCAGGGAAGCCTAGCTGCCGGCAAGCCACCTTGGCGTCGTTCAGGCGCCAGTTCCAGTGACACACTGTGCCCCACACGCTGTTATAGAAGAGCTCTACACGACCCTCGTTATTGGCGGCTCCTCCACTCAACCGAATCGAAGCTAAAATGCAATTGGATTAAAAAAAAACATGTTGTTTTTGCAATATCATCTTCCCATATGATTTTAATATTATTATGTTATAGGTAAAATACAAAATTGAGATCCAAATTTTGAGGATGGGTAGTGAACCGGCGGATCAAGAACTACATTTTCGGGGGGCGGGGGGCTCAGTCGAAAAGCTATGAGAGGGGGACCTCGTGCATGGTTTTAACGTAATGGTTATGGTATTTCGAAATATTGTTATTTATTTATTGCGAAATAACGCAATAGTATTGCAAAATAGCGCAACAGCAGTGGCGTAGCCACCGGGGGCGTTGGGGGGGGGGGGGCTCCCCCATGAAACCTTGTCGCCCCCCCCCCCTTGAGATTTTGAGTTTCTAAAAAAATTATCATTGATCTACATGACGCCCCCCCCCCCCAACTGAAAAATTCCTGGCTACGCCACTGCGCAACAGGTATTGCAAAATAGCGCAATACTTAGTGCGACATAACGCAGAAGTACAGTTTGCCATAAAAAACGTTGTAAATAGAGTTTCAAGAATTGTTGCATGGTATAATGCACATGCGCGCATTTACAAGACTGCAAATGCGCGCAAATAGCGGTGACGCTTTTTAAAAATGGCGGCACTTAAGTTTATTATATAATGTTATTGTTATTTAAATTTTTGGCTGCATCAAAGACTCTTTTTGTACGGAAGACTGATTGTGCCAGGTTTAACAAATGGACAAAAAAGTGATACGAAATAACGCAATAGTATTGCGAAATAACGCAACAGTTGTGCGAAATGGCGCTAAAGTATTGCGAAATAACGCAATAGGCTTTGCGAAAAAGCTACAAGTTTATGCCAAAAAAACCACAATTCAATTTGCGTAAAAAATGAAGGAATGCATTGTGTCCGTATTATTGACAATAAAATGTCATTCCAGTAACTTTTGTATGTTTAAAAGCTTTGTATGGGGTAGCCGTTTCAAAGCCCGGTTCATACTTCACGCGAAAACGAAAGCGAAGCGAAATTCGTGACGTCAACAGTACGTTCAACGCGCGTCCACCATTGTTGACGACATGAATTCGCTTCGCACTTACTTTGGCGTGAAGTATGAACCGGGCTTAATTCTGAAGCTAGCGTGGAACCTGATTTCGCACAGTGAATTTTCACATGCATTAGTTTTTATTCGGCGACAGTCCTTTGTTGACAATTATTTTCGTAAAGACAACGCCAAAATCGGCTCCCGCATCCGTTGTAAACAAGCGGTGTTTGTTCCAATGTTCACTGAAATGTGAGCCACATGTATGTGAAAACGATCTAAAATATTTAATGTTCACAAAAACACGACAAATGTATCAATTAGCAGCAGTGTTTAGTTGATTTTGACCTGTGGTTCTAACAATTCTAATTAGCTTAGAAAGCGTTGGGAATTGAGCGTACGATTACGTTTGTAAGTAGCCCGCTTTACGTTTATTCATCAGTTACATTATGCTTGTCATTATGGGCCATCAGCGTCCTACATAAACATGCAGTTATGAATCCCAATCGGTGGGGGCAGCGTCATGACTTATCTGCTTTCATTACGATCGCAAGCCCAGTCTTGCAATTATATCAGTTACCTTGTGCCTGGCATATCACGCCAGCATCCTCCATGTGTGTACAATGATGCGTCCCGACGGGTGGATGGCTGCAATCCATCAGAGTATCTTCGTTTCCAGAACAGCTCACATTGCCAAGAAGGATGTCTCCGGTACCAGGACCGAAGTAGGCGTTGTGGGTTGCTTTTTGAGCGTCACCAAGGCCAAGTTGACGGCAGACTACGGTGGCCTCATCAAGTGACCAGCCATCGTCACAGACCGTACCCCACTGGCCGTTGAAGTAAACTTCCAATCGGCCCGCATTAGTAGACGCACCATTTACAAGACGCACTACAATGTGAGTCGAAAAAGGAAACGGACCGGGAATAAATTAGTGTTGTCTTTATTCTTCATTTAATTAAAAAGAAATTAAATTGGATACACCGATGAAGCTCGTTTTACATGTATATGTTCTTCAATACATCTAAAAAAAAATAATAATTGTCCAAAAGTGCTAAGTGATTTAAAGATTTCAGCTATTCAAACTCAAAAAGATTTGATTTTGTGAAATGAATCAAGTCTTTTTTTAAATGAGAACGTTATGTTTTGGATGGATTCCTTTGCCATGTAATTTACAAGGATTTCATCAATGCGTATCGGTCAATGACAAGTGATGGACAAATGAGGTTTGCGGTATTTCGTTTTAAACATAAATAAGCTGTAAATAGAACATGCAAATTATGTGAAATTTTCACAGTTATTAGTCAGTAACATGTACATTATTTATGTGTTATTTGTTATTAAATGTTGTTTCTAACTGTCATTTTCTTTTTGACTCGCAATGTACAGTGTTGGTTTACGATATCAAGTTATGAGGGATCATCAGTAATCGTACGCGCGCGACATGCACGTTTGGGGATCTGAAAAACTAGCTGGTTACATCACCATTCTGTGCGGTTATTTCAATACATTTACAGAAATAATCAAAGCATGTTGACGTCAAATGCACATTCCTCATAGTGTGCCAGATGAAATACGCAACATTTTCACATCCGCATACGTATCCCGTATGCATACCATTTCTATTGTTCCATATCATGTCGGTATTACATTGGTCTTGAGGATACATGCAGACACCATCAGGCTCTCTCCAAACCCATCTCCTAAATGTCTTGATTTATCGCATCAGCTTAAAAAAGTCTTGAGTAAACGTCATTAAATATTGAGAAACTGGGTTCATTTCTTAAAGACTAAGTTTCTCTATGCGTTGAATTTAACAACTTCCCCTCACCCTTGAAAAAAATCCTTGATGCCCACCTGCCTCAACGCGTTTGAGGTCTAGCCTCCGACACAACAAAATGGGTATTAGTAAAATGGCTGCATATTTATGTTTTATTTTAGGCTTTGCATAGTGGAGATTTAGAACTTGCATCTAATGTAGTGAGTTGTAATGTTTAAGGAGTTTTACCTGATGGTGAGCACACTACGCCTGCATCGTGTTGATGATCATAATTACATCCATGGTCTCCACCTCCATCATGCGGGCAGCTCCACAGGTCGGCCTCGCTGCCCACGCACCTTGGGTAGCTAAGCAGAACTGCACCCGTGCCACCTCCATAAGCCGCCCACACCGTGTACAATAAAGCGTCAGGGAAGCCTAACTGCCGGCAAGCCACCTTGGCGTCGTTCAGGTCCCAGCCATGGTGACACACTGTGCCCCATGCGTTGTTATTGAAGAGCTCTACACGACCCTCGTGATTGACGGCTCCTCCACTCAACCGAATCGAAGCTAAAATGCAGTTGGATTAAACTATAATTTATTATTGCAATTTCGCTTGATAAAGATCTAAAGTTAAGATCCACATAATGATGGGGAGCAGTGGACCGTCCATAGAAGACCTGTGATGTCAGATTCGGCAAGTTTGAAGAAAAAAAAACTATTCGATGTTCATAAATGAAATTGCAAAGTATCGTTCTGGGGATTTTGTGTGATATTGTTAAAATAACTCGGAAAAACTATATTAACCCTAAAAGGACCGGGTTATTTTGACCGTCTCTCAGCCGGGGGGGGGGGGGGTCCCCAAGATCTCGGCCATTGAGTCACGAAAAATCAAGAAAATCGGTACATGCATAGAACAACTTATCTTCAACATATCCAAAAAAATCATGTCTATAGGTCGAAGGGTTTTGGAATTATGGCTATTTAATAATTCATATGCATGAATGTAATTCTGACCTGTGTACACTACGGATATGGGAAGATTCAGTTTTCACGGCGCCGAAAATTTTTGGTCCGATTTTTATGTTTTTGGTATCAAAAGACACGCAAGGCTCGAGGCTAAGAGGTCATAACAGCTCGAGCGCCAGCCGACATGGCTCTCATGAATCGCGGTCTAAAGGTACCTTAACATGGATGGATTTTGACAAACTATACCTTGGTGGATAGTGGATGAATAGGCCTACAAGCTGACAAATTTGCAAGGCTTCAGACTTGAAACTTTTGGAGTGAGCCCCGGACGTAGGTGCATGATGCGACCAGTTTCGTTTTTGTGCAGTAAGTCCCATAGCAAGGGCTGTCAGCGCCAGCCGACATGGCTCTCATGAGGCGCGGTCTAAAGGTACCTTAACATTGGTGGATTTTGACAACCTATAGCTTGTTGGATAGCGGATGAATAGGCCTACAAGCTGACAAATTTGCAAGGCTTCAGACTTGAAACTTTTGGAGTGAGCCCCAGACGTAGGTGCATGATGCGCCCAGTTTCGTTTTTGTGCAGTAAGTCCCGTAGCAAGGGCTGTCAGCGCCACCGACATGGCTCTCATGAGTCGCGGTCTAAAGGTACCTTAACATAGATGGATTTTGACAAACTATACCTTGGTGGATAGCGAAGGAATAGGCCTACAAGCTGACAAATGTACTAGGCTTCAGATATGAAACTTTTGGAGTGAGGCCCAGACGTAGGTGCATGATGCCGCCAGTTTTGTTTTTGTGCAGTAAGTCCCATAGCAAGGGCTGTCAGCGCCAGCCGACATGGCTCTCATGAGTCGCGGTCTAAAGGTACCTTAACATGGATGGATTTCGACAAACTATACCTTGGTGGATAGCGGATGAATAGGCCTACAAGCTGACAAATTTGCAAGGCTTCAGACTTGAAACTTTTGGAGTGAGCCCCGGACGTAGGTGCATGATGCGCCCAGTTTCGTTTTTGTGCAGTAAGTCCAATAGCAAGGGATGTCAGCGCCAGCCGACATGGCTCTCTTGAGTCGCGGTCTTAAGGTACCTTAACATGGATGGATTTTGACAAACTATACCTTGGTGGATAGCGGATGAAAAGGCCTACAAGCTGACAAATTTGCAAGGCTTCAAACTTGAAACTTTTGGAGTGAGATCCAGACGTAGGTGCATAATGGCCCCAGTTTCGTTTTTGTGCAGTAAGTCCCATAGCAAGGGCTGTCAGCGCCAGCCGACATGGCTCTCATGAGTCGCGGTCTAAAGGTACCTTAACATGTATGGATTTTGACAAACTATACCTTGGTGGATAGCGGATGAATAGGCCTACAAGCTGACAAATTTGCAAGGCTTCAGACTTGACACTTTTGGAGTGAGCCCCAGACGTAGGTGCATGATGCCCCCAGTTTCGTTTTTGTGCAGTAAGTCCAATAGCAAGGGATGTCAGCGCCAGCCGACATGGCTCTCTTGAGTCGCGGTCTTAAGGTACCTTAACATGGATGGATTTTGACAAACTATACCTTGGTGGATAGCGGATGAAAAGGCCTACAAGCTGACAAATTTGCAAGGCTTCAGACCTGGAACTTTTGGAGTGAGCTCATGACGTAGGTGCATGATGCCCCCAGTTTCGTTTTTGTGCAGTAAGTCCCATAGCAAGGGCTGTCAGCGCCAGCCGACATGGCTCTCATGAGTCGCGGTCTAAAGGTACCTTAATATGGATGGATTTTGACAAACTATACCTTGGTGGATAGCGGATGAATGGGCCTACAAGCTGTCATATTTGCAAGGCTTCAGACTTGAAGCTTTTGGAGTGAGTTCCGGACGTAGGTGCATGATGCGCCCAGTTTCGTTTTTGTGCAGTAAGTCCCATAGCAAGGGCTGTCAGCGCCAGCCGACATGGCTCTCATGAGTCGCGGTCTAAAGGTACCTTAACATGGATGGATTTTAACAAACTATACCTTGTTGGATAGCGGATGAATAGGCCTACAAGCTGACGAATTTGCAAGGCTTCAGACTTGACACTTTTGGAGTGAGCCCCAGACGTAGGTGCATGATGCCCCCAGTTTCGTTTTTGTGCAGTAAGTCCCATAGCAAGGGCTGCCAGCGCCAGCCGACATGGCTCTCATGAGTCGCGGTCTAAAGGTACCTTAACATGGATGGATTTTGATAAACTATACCTTGGTGGATAGCGAATGAATAGGCCTACAAGCTGACAAATTTGCAAGGCTTCAGACTTGAATCTTTTGGAGAGAGCTCCTGACGTAGTTGCATGATGCCCCCAGTTTCGTTTTTGTGCAGTAAGTCCCATAGCAAGGGCTGTCAGCGTCAGCCGACATGGCTCTCATGAATCGCGGTCTAAAGGTACCTTAACATGGATGGATTTTGACAAACTATACGTTGGTAGAGAGTAGATGAATAGGCCTACAAGTTGACAATTTTGCAAGGCTTCAGACTTGAAACTTTTGGAGTGAGCCCCAGACGTAGGTGCATGATGCCCCCAGTTTCGTTTTTGTGCAGTAAGTCCCATAGCAAGGGCTGTCAGCGCCAGCCGACATGGCTCTCATGAATCGCGGTCTAAAGGTACCTTAACATGGATGGATTTTAACAAACTATGGCTTGTTGGATAGCGGATGAATTGGCCTACAAGCTGACAAATTTGCAAGGCTTCAGACCTGAAACTTTTGGAGTGAGCCCCAGACGTAGGTGCATGATGCGCCCAGTTTCGTTTTTGTGCAGTAAGTCCCATAGCAAGGGCTGTCAGCGCCAGCCGACATGGCTCTCATGAGTCGCGGTCTAAAGGTACCTTACCGTAGATGTATTTTGATCAAACTATACCTTGGTTGATAGCGGATGAATAGGCCTACAAGCTGACAAATTTGCAAGGCTTCAGACTTGAAACTTTTGGAGTGAGCCCCAGACGTAGGTGCATTTTGCCCCCAGTTTCGTTTTTGTGCAGTACGTCCCTTAGCAAGGGCTGTCAGCGCCAGCCGACATGGCTCTCATGAGTCGCGGTCTAAAACGTGGATAGCGGAAGAATAGGCCTACAAGCTGACAAATTTGCAAGGTTTCAGACTTGAAACTGTTTGAGTGAGCCCCAGACGTAGGTGCATGATGCCCCCAGTTTCGTTTTTGTGCAGTAAGTCCCATAGCAAGGGCTGTCAGCGCCAGCCGACATGGCTCTCATGAGTCGCGGTCTAAAGGTACCTTAACATTGATGGATTTTGACAAACTATACCTTGGTGGATAGCAGATGAAAAGGCCTACAAGCTGACAAATTTGCAAGGCTTCAGACTTGAAACTTTTGGAGTGAGCCCCAGACGTAGGTGCATAATGCCCCAAGTTTCGTTTTTGTGCAGTAAGTCCCATAGCAAGGGCTGTCAGCGCCAGCCGACATGGCTCTCATGAGTCGCGGTCTAAAGGTACCTTAACATGGATGGATTTTGACAAACTATAGCTTGGTGGATAGCGAATGAATAGGCCTACAAGCTGACAAATTTGCAAGGCTTCAGACTTGAAAACTTTGGAGTGAGCCGCAGACGTAGGTGCATGATGCCCCCAGTTTCGTTTTTGTGCAGTAAGTCCCAAAGCAAGGTCTGTCAGCGCCAGCCGACATGGCTCTCATGTGTCGCGGTCTAAAGGTACCTTAACATAGATGGATTTTGACAAAACTATAACTTGGTTGATAGCGGATGAATAGGCCTACAAGCTGTTAAATTTGAAAGGCTGCGGACTTGAAACTTTTGGAGTGAGCCCCAGACGTAGGTGCATGATGCCCCCAGTTTCTTTTTTGTTCAGTAAGTCCCTTCGCAAGGGCTGTCAGCGCCAGCCGACATGGCTCTCATGAGTCGCGGTCTAAAGGTACCTTAACGTAGATGGATTTTGACAAACTATTACTTGGTGGATAGCGGATGAATAGGCCTACAAGCTGACAAATTTGCAAGGCTTCAGACTTGAAACCTTTGGAGTGAGCTCCAGACGTAGGTGCATGATGCCCCCAGTTTCGTTTTTGTGCAGTAATTCCCATAGTAAGGTCTGTCAGCGCCAGCCGACATAGCTCTCATGAGTCGCGGTCTAAAGGTACCTTGACATAAATGGATTTTGACAAACTATAACTTGGTGGATAGCGGATGAATAGGCCTACAAGCTGACAAATTTGCAAGGCTTCAGACTTGAAATTTTTGGAATGAGCCCCAGACGTAGGTGCATGATGCCCCCAGTTTCGTTTTTGTGCAGTAAGTCCAATAGCAAGGGATGTCAGCGCCAGCCGACATGGCTCTCTTGAGTCGCGGTCTTAAGGTACCTTAACATGGATGGATTTTGACAAATTATACCTTGGTGGATAGCGGATGAAAAGGCCTACAAGCTGACAAATTTGCAAGGCTTCAGACCTCGAACTTTTGGAGTGAGCTCATGACGTAGGTGCATGATGCCCCCAGTTTCGTTTTTGTGCAGTAAGTCCCATAGCAAGGGCTGTCAGCGCCAGCCGACATGGCTCTCATGAGTCGCGGTCTAAAGGTACCCTTACAGGGATGGATTTTGACAAACTATACCTTGGTGGATAG